CTAGTAACATACATTTATCAGACAATATTACCTCATTGGGACAATCTTGTTTCATGGGATGCGATTCTTTGGTATCATTAATTTCTTCCTCAAAAACTCGTCGAGCTCCAAAATTGTTGTTTTCAAAATTGCACGAAGTTGACACGTGTTAAAGTACCAGATACAGTGACTTACATTGGGGATAATTCCTTTGAAAATTGCGCTTTAAAAACATTTGATTTCCCATCCCAAACAAATAGAGTGTCAAAGAGTTGCTTTCGAAATTGTATGAAATTGGAATCAATAACATTTAAAAATTCGACACACAAATTTTCTTATTGTTGTGCAAAAGGAGCAACAAACTTAACACAAATTTACGTTCAAAATACAAATGAAAAAGCTCAAACGTTTAAAGATGAAGGGTACTTTGTAAAACAATTATTAATCAACGGCGGAATGCAAAATCTGTTTTATTGTTTTGACAGAAGTAATTTTAAAGAGTATAAATCATTATATCCCGCTTACACTCGATCAGGTGAAATAGTCAAATTGGTTTTAAAAAATCTTGAAAAACTTAAAAGGAAATGCTTTACTGATTGTCCTTTGGAATATATTGATTTGGATGGGAATATTGTGACTATACCAAGAATGTGTTTCACTTTAAATATGCTTACGTCTATTAAACTTGGTGACCGTAAAAACTATTGAAGCTTATGCTTTCAAGGGGAATTACGAACTTAAAACAATCGAAATGCCCAAAAATTTGGAAGTGGTGCAAAGAGATGCGTTCGAGCATTGCACTCAACTTGAAAAAGTCGTTTTTAATGATAAAATAAAATACTTAGGAAGAAGAGCATTTTATTATTGCAAAAGTTTGAAAGAAGTAATTTATCCAAAAAATAGAAAGGTGCCATGAGTCTACTTTTGACTTTTCTGGAATCAATAAAGATTGTGTTTTGAAAATGGTAAAGGTTATTTCAGACAAGTGATTGTTTACTTATTATTTACAAAAAAGTTTTATCAAGTCAATCGTTTATAAAGTCTCTAGTATAACAACTTTTTTAAAGTTGTATTACTTCATAAACAAGCAATGAAAAATACATTCAACATCTCCAATTTGGCAAATTTAATATTATAATTGCAACAACAGAAAATTTTAATTATTGTTAATTGAATATTAAAAACAATTTTTAAATTAAAGAAATAAATAAAACACCACAAGTCATAAACCACTTTTTTGACTCGCAAAATACACTTTCAAGTGATTAACATTTGGCAAAACATTGTTTTCCAACTTTTTTAAGACTTTGTGGAAGTGTCAAACTTTTTAATAAATAACAAATAAAGAACAAGTAATCTTCTACACACATTATTGTCAACTGTAAACTTTTAAATAAAAGATCCACCAAAAGCATGAATGCCAATAAAAATGACGTTTGTTCCAAAAATTCAGAAAAAAAATACATTTACAAAAACACGTTTTTGAAATCACTCAAGCAGGTCTGGGAATTTTATTACTATAAATCTCATACATTGATTAAACACCCAATTACTAAGGTGTATAAGATGTGGCAGCAATGCAATTTATGTGATATTATAACAATAAGAAAACACAAACTGAGATATTTCGATAATCAAGTTTGGAAACGGTATTGAAGTCCCAAGACATTCTTTGAATGAATTGGTTTTAATTTTCTTTGTGAATTCTAAAATTTTAGTGTTAAAATAAGTCTGTTTTTTGTATAAACAGCAAGAGGACACTCATTGATATTCTTAATTTGTATCAGACACTCTTTGAGACCTTTTTAATAACTTAAAAGAAATTTTTTTTAATAATAAGTTTTATATCAAAAATGTTATGAATTATTATTAGGTTTGAATGTACTGAAAATTTTGTTTGTTATTGAAGTGATATTAATTGGATGTTTTTAAATTTAATCAAGCATATATTCATACGACTCACAAACTAATATAATAACAAAAAACCATCATATTCATTTAAATAAGACTCAATAATTTGAATGGAGTACACATCAACGCGCTTAGACATGTGTTATTGATATAAGATTTGTTTTGATATACACAAGTAAAAAAATTTAAAGTTTTAGTATAATTATTATACAATTAACTAGAATCGATGATTATAATAATAATGAATTTTATCAAGTTCTTCTTTATTCATATTTTTTAAACCTACCGACTTAATCAATCTAGAATAGAGAAAATATCAAGAAGCATTTGTGGTCTAAGGGCAGAATTCCACCCTTCCAAGGTGGAGATCCGGGTTCGAGTCCCGGCAAATGCATTTTTTGTTTGTATTTAATATTTTATATTAAAATAAAGATTATCAATTCTATCCAACTCACAACATATTGTTGTGAAATGTTCAACAGTAAATTAGCAAGTAAAATGAATTACAAAGCAAGACGAATACAAAGAGACGAAATGCTTAATATCCACCTCTCAATCTCAAGACGAGGTGAAGTGTTGACTCCTTTTGAATGTTGTAGTCAGAAAGGGTTTTTCCCTCTTCAAGTTGTTTACCAGCAAAAATAAGTCTTTGTTGGTCTGGTGGAATGCCTTCCTTTTCTTGTATTTTTGCTTTAATAGCATCAATTGAATCGTTTGGCTCTACTTCCAATGTGATTGTCTTACCAGTGAGGGTCTTCACAAAGATTTGCATTTTATGTATTTAGTTGTTTGGACCGTCTTTTATAGACTCTGTTGACATAACTCAATGACGTGTAATAATTATTGTCATTACTAAACAAAACTATATTATTTAAATCAATTTTAAAATACTATTAAAATAATAAAATCAAATAAAACTTACAGTCAAACCTCTATCGAGTGGTAATTTCAGGAAATTTTATTTTTATCGAGCGGGTTTTTCTATTTTTATTATTTGACTTTTTTGACACAATAAAACAGTTTTTATTTTTTTTTCAAAAATAGGTTATATAAAATTTAAATACATAAGAAAAAAAATATATACACGTTTTAACTATAAAAGCATTTTTGCATTTAAAAATTAACTGAAAAAACTGAAAAATCATAAATGTCGTCACCCAAAAAGAAAGTCTTTCTGACCATTGACGAAAAGAAAACAATTTTGTCATGGTTTAAAACAAATCCCACACAAAGTGTAGACACTCTGATTCGAAAAACCGAAGAAAAATATAACAAAAAACCAGGAAGAGAATCTTTAAGAATTTTATTAAAAAAAGGTATACCAAGTACTTTGATCGAAAAGGGAATTCCTGGTTCATCTAAATTATCAAGAAAGGTTAAACATCAAGACATGGAAGATTACCTAAACAATATGATTATTACAACAAAACGGTATAATTGTCCTGTAACATATGAAGTCATCAAATCGTTTGCCAATAGTTACTGTGCGAAAAATGGTTACGAGGACTTGAAATTTTCTAATGGTTGGATCACTGGATTTTGTTCAAGATACAATTTAAAATCCAAAAAAAAACAGCGGAGAGAGTAATTCAGTAAATCCACAAGATCTTCAAACACAAATAAATTATCTGGTTGATATCATTGCTCAATACCAACCAGAAAATGTTTATAACGCAGATGAAACTGGACTATATTTCAAATTGCTTCCAGACAAAACAATGTCGGATTTAACAAACAACCATGGAGCAAAACAAAGCAAAGAAAGAGTCACTGTAATGGTTTGCTGTTCACTTGCTGGAAACAAAGAAGACTTGCTTGTGATTGGTAAATATCATGAACCAAGGTGGCTTAACAAACCAGAATATCAGACCATAAAAAAGTATTATAGCGCACAAGAAAACGCTTGGATGGACACTGAGCATTTCCATGATTGGTTAATTGAATGGGAAGACAGACTAACCATTAGTGGCCGATGTATTCTTCTTATTGTAGACAACGCTCCGAATCATAAACTGACGTTAAGTCTTGGGTTTTATAAAGAAAAACCAAGACATGTCTATAAAGGTATAAAAAGTACTCGATATCATGAATATGAGTTGATTCTTAAACACATCAGGTTGGAATTTCTTCCAAAAAATACAACATCGGTGTTTCAACCGTGTGATGCTGGAATCATTCATTCGTTAAAATGTGCATATAAAAGGAAAATTATTTCCGAATACACCAGAGCAATAAGCGAAGTTGTATCTGCGAATAAAATTTACACTGGACTAAAACTCAATGTTGGAGATGCAATTAAATTATTAACCGCTTGTTGGTATCAAGATGTTACATCTCAAACAATAATCAATTGTTGGAGACATGCTTTGTATCAAGGAGAAAATGTATTTGACCAAATTGATACATTGGGCTATCATATTGAAGACTTGATTGAAGAAGACGTTGATGTAGTAAGAGATGAAATACCTAACAGTGGTGATGTAATACAACGAAAAATTGAAATGGAAACATCACTTGTCAAACAAATGATGGAATTGGAAGATCTCAAAGAACAAGTTCAAACAAAAGAAGAAGAAGTAAAGGATACTACCACTAAATATATAGAATTTTGTGAATTGAACGATTTAACACCAAGCCAAAACTAATTGACAATTTTAATTAAATTTATTATACAAATGGAATTTATACAAATGTGTTGTTTAGAACACGTTTTATAATTGTTAATTCACTTTTAAAAATTAAAATATTTAATACTTTTTTTACCATTTAATAAACTTGTTTATTTGTTTATTATTTTTTGTCTTAGTGTTATAATAAAATGAAATTAAAAAACATTTTACCACAAATCCAAAGAAAAAAAATCTATTTTTCCCGAAATATTAAAATAAAAACATATAAAAAACAGTTCTTTATCGAGCGGTATCCAATTTTAATTGGCTAAAAATCCCATTCGATAAAGGTACCACTCGATAGAGGTGCTATTCGATAGAGGTTTGACTGTATTTTGAAA